GTCCTGAAAATGAAGGGAGCAGAGGGGCTTGGGGAAACAGCTCTGAATGGGTGTAGGGGTAGGGAGATGGTCTAGGGGTTATAGCCCCACAGGAAACAAGGCAAGAAGACACTGCCTTCAACTACAACGGTAAGGAGCAAGTCTCAAGACTTCAAGGCCAGGATATACTGTTCATTTTGGAAGTGGTACTTTTGACCCACCTCCCAGATATCCAAACAGACACCCACTGGGGGCCTGTAGCGAGAGTTCAGGGAGAAGTCTACCTAGACACAGTAAAAGAAGAGGGAGAGGGCAGAGAAAGAGCAGCCACTATCTGTACAAAGAGACCAACCCAGCCAACACTGGAGCTGGAGTGAAGAAGGGCAGACCACAGGGGCGGGCACAGGCGGGAAGCAAGCATGTGGGCACATAGCCGCAGTGATAAATATGGGAAACTGAGATAGAAAAGGAGTCTGAGAAGAGAGACAGGTAGAAAAAAAGAGTCTGAAAGGACAAGAGAGGCTGACCAGGGACAGAGGCAGGAGCTGGCAGCATCAGTGGCTCAGTCAGGAATGGAAAGCCAGGCCCAGGCTCTGAGTGGTTTTCTCCATTCAGCCACATTCTGCCAAATAGTTACTAGTTATTAAAACAGTAAATAATTCTTTTTAGGTTTTCAAACAGTCCCCAGGTCTAAAGAGTCTGCAACAATACATACCATCACTAGCAGAGCCTGAACTTGGTGACACCGAACCCCAAGAGACTGGCTGTAGCCACAGAATTTCTGCAGATGGACACACCCACTATCCATGCTGGTTGGTTTTTTTTTTTTGCAGGCCTCACTGCTGGCCTGGGCATTCCCAGCCACAGTGTCCTGCCTACCTGTGTGCCTCCTGGGGCAAGGTTAGCCAAGACTTTACACAGTCCACATGGCTTCACAGCACCAGCCATGATTCCCCTGACCAAAGTTCAGTCTGCAGTCACAGAAGCCTAGTCCCCTCCCACTGCTCAACTTCACCTTGATGTCCCTGGTATCTTTTTATATTTATTTATTATTTATTTTGTATGTATATGCATGGGGGGGGGGCACAAGCGCCATAGCATGCATGTGGAAGTCAGAGTACAACTTGCAGGAATTGGTTTTCTCCTACCAAGTGCAGTCTGGGGATCAAAATCAGGGTCATCAGGTGTGACGGCAGGCGCCCTACTTACTGAGCTGTCTCACTTGCCCTGTTATCTTTGACGATCTAAACGTCACACATCATTACTTGTTAAACACTTTCCTCCTGCCGGGATACTCACTGTGCTTTCAACACCCCAGGGTCCTCAAGGTCCCTGAACATAAGTTTTCCAACAGCTGCTACAAGAATTAGAGGGAAAGGACAAGGACTTGTCTACAAGTAACCCTGGGCTGCACCACGGCACTGCAGTTTCCTGGAATGCCCTATGCCCTACTCAAGTCCCTTGTCACTCTGTGCCTCATTTTTAAAAAAATATTTATTATTTTTTATTTAATGTGTATGAGTGCACTGCCTACATGTAAGTAAGCGTACCTGTGTTGTGCAATGCCTGTGGAAGACAGAAGAGGCCGTTGGATCCCCTGGAACTGGAGTTATGGACAGTTATTAGCTGCTGGGATTCGAACCTGGGTCTTCTGCAAGAACCACCAGTGTTCTTAACTGCTGAGCCATCTATCCAGCCCTCTGTGCCTCATTTTAGCACTGTCTCTAACATGGCCACCACAAGAGAGGAACTAGGTATTATGAAATCCTTTATTTCCTAACTTGAAATCTGTTTAAGGTAGGCAATAACACAAACCAGGCGTGGTGGCGTACTTCTTTAATCCCAGCACCCAGGAGGCAGAGGCAGGTGGATCTCTGTGAGTTCAAGGCCAGACTGGTCTATATCATAGAGAGTTCCAGGCTAGTTGGAGCTACAGGGAGACCCTGTCTCAAAAAGACCAAAAAAAAAAAAAAAAAAAAAAAAAGGTAACACTTAAAAAGAATGAAAATCGCAAAAATTCAAGCCTATGGTGTAATCTTGGCAGGAACTCACCCCATCAGAAAGACACACAGAGGCCCAGAGGACACAGGTACACTGACCAGATGTATGCCTGAAACTGCTTCACTGACTGAGATGTCCAACAATGAATGACAAGGTGAGTGAAACATGTACAGACATGGACACCCGGGCACAGCACAAAATTTTGCTGGGTCCACAGATAGCAGGTTCTGGAAAGAAAGCAAAGCAAGCTGCTTCAGACTACACCAGCAAGTGCTCTGAAGGTGTGACAGGGTTTGGAGCCTAGAGGAGGAAAATTAAGATTTACTAGGTATCCAAGAAGGCAAAAGAAAGGACTGAGTGTCTTTGGTATCATTACGGCCTCTGGGAGAGCAGCTGGCTCACTAAGGACCCAGAACAGTGTGCACCTGTGTCAGGTCAAACTTCTACAGCTATCAGCATCTCCACACTTGAGACACACGATCCCCCAACCAGCCAGATCAAGTTTGGAAAACTGCTCTACAAGGTTGACTTGGGGCATGCACTCTGCACTCACATTGGTGTGTCAAGGATAAACGCAGGCTGTGAATTTCCAACAGTTACTTGGTCAGCCAGTCTGTTATCAAAGAGAAGGCAGGAAATGTAAGCATTCCTGTAAAGAATTCAAGGCCATGTGAGATTACATTTAAGAACCACACCTAGACTTCCTAGCTTGTCACATCTGTAAATTACAAACAGTATTAGCAGCTTGGGACCACAAATCCCAGAGTCTCCTTGCTCCAAAGAGCTGTCACCTACAATCTAGTACCAGGTAAACTTCCATTAGCCTTGAAAATTTATAGGAAACAGGGCAGAATACATAGCTCAGTTGGTAGAATACTTGCCAAGCAAGCAGAAGTCCTGGGCTTGATCTCCAGAACTGTATTAACTAGGTGTAGTAACACATGCCTAAAATCCCAGTACTCTGGAGGTGGAGGCAAGAGGATCACAATTCAAGGTCATCCTCAGCTACATAGTGAGTTCCAGGCCAGCCTGGACTACATGAGATCCTATCTCAAAAGAGAACAAAGCGAAATAAAACCTTATAAGAAAAACATTAACTCAGCAAAACACATTGTCAACAGAACAGAGAAATTATACAGTAGTGACCTAAAGGACCTAAAGGGAAGTGCTACTTCTTCCTGGAGGAAGTAACAGCTCTAAAACTTTAATATTCTTTTTAAAAATTAGAGAGAAAATTTTAATAGAGCAAGCTTGTTTGAAATACTGTCACTTCTCTCTACTTGCCTAAGCATCTGCATAACCATTTTCATCAGAGGCTGTGTAATAGCTTTGGAATGCACACTGCGATCATTCACGGTCATCAGACATAAGACCTGAGAAACCCTTTTGTGGCTGTGACCATCCATTTCATTTCCTAGAGCATTCAATGAGCCATGGGAGCAGCTCTGGAAACCTTTCCTGCCTGGTGGGTCCTGAATTCACTAGCCAGACTGAAACCCATACTCCTCCACAAACAACCTCCTTGTAATACACCTGAAGGTCCTGATTAAGATCAAAAGTCAGAGATTAAAGGTCCTCCACTGATGGTAGCACATTCCCAAGGTATGGACCACTCTGAGCTGCAAGGTTTCCATGTGTCAATCAACAGAAATCCATCAATGCTGGCCAAGTATAGGCATGGTAGTGCTCACCTGTAATCTCAGTACTCAGGAGGCAGTGGCAGCAGAATTGTGTGTTTGTGCCCAGTAAAAGCTACACAGCAAGACTCTGTCTCAATAAACCAAGGCCTGAGGGTGAAGATAAGAGGCAAAGCATGCACTAGACCCTAGGTTCATCCCTGGTACCCCCACCCCTAAAAAAAAGGAAAACCCTACATTTTGAAGATCTGGCAGAGACTTGGTGGTGTGGTCGGCATTATTCCTTTCTTTAAATAAAACATGGACTAGAAAACACCCATTCAATATGGCTGCTCTCCTGCTACTGAGGAGAAACACGGCCTTGCTTGGCTCTCCTGTAAAGACCAACTACACCAGAGCAGTCAGACGTTACAGAGACAATGGTAACAGGTACCTTCCCGGTGGGGCCGAATGCTCTGTGCAGTGTGTGACCACTCATTCACCCCAGGGAAACAAGTGCTCCCAAGGGCTAACCCCACCACCGGAGATAGGTGTCTCCCACACCTCCAGCACAGCGGGCAAAGGCTAGCTCAGAACCTGTGCTCTCGATCCTTAGCTAAATTACCTTTGGGCTAGAGGCACTGCCACCCACCACTGGGCCACACTGTTAGCCACTCAATCACCACGGAAATGAACCAGTCGTGCAAAGCTGCCCAGTCCCCAGGGAAGAAATGCAGACCAGCAAGGCTCAGCCAGCTCTTCCAAGCACATCCGAATTTGGTCTCAGAAGGGTTTCTTATCCGGCACTCCACTGCAGTCCATCCGGCACCGTCAAGTCTAACTTAGAAGCCTCTACCGGTCTTCCTTCAGGTGCTCACGTTTGTCCTAATGGAACGACCAGGCGCAGCGACCACCCAAGGTCAAGACCCGGAAGCCAAGGGCAGTAGCAGCACTGGAGTTGGGGACGCCTTGGACACCAGGGCTCCCCAGGGGCCCCCGAATTAGCGCCGAAGGCAAGCCCGCCACGCCCCAGGCCGAGCTTCCGGGAGGACGCCGGGCGCCTCCGCGACCCAAGCCCGCGACGCCGCCCCCAATTCGCCAGCGCCCCCAGCCCGGGCCGACGCCTCGACGGTCGCGCTCGGACGGACGGACGCCGCCGGGATGGGCGGGGCGCAGCCGCCGGGACCCCCGAGGCCCTCAGACCCCACCATCCCTGCCTCCTCGCCTCTGGAGTCGCCCGTCGCTCCACG